CATTTCTAAATATAAATTAAATTAAAATAAACATCGATATTAAAATAAATGTATAATAATAAATCCATCACATTACTTTCCTAGCAGAGCTACACCCTTAGGTATTGTTTGAGTGGTGAATCCAAATTTTATGTTATTAAATCCCAGGGCATAGTTTTGACCTTCAAACTGCTCTCAAACAAAATGATCACCAAAAATGAGCATCATTATTTCAAGATGACAATGCTACGTAATTTGCTTAAACCTTAATTATACAATCTCTCTAGAACTTCTTTATTTCTTTAAGCTGAATGAACTTCAGTGCTACAAAATAATGATGTAAACCACTATTATGTTTACTTATTTATAAGTTAATGATCAGACATATTTATAAGTAATATTTTTCTTAGTATCTTCTCTTTTTTACATGTATTTTACTCGGCTAAAGTATTTCCATGAAGAATAAAGTATTCATGCAAAGAAATGAAGATCATTTATTAATACTATATGAGCCAGGCAGTAGCACTGCCTATGTAAGGATGGCTCAGGTTGTTAATCGAAATGGTATTTTAAATATCTCCTCAATAGGTCATCAGAACTTTACAATACTATACAATGTCTCCTTTTATAACAATAACTATGTAACGACTGAGTCACAACTTCTGTGAATGTCAGTAAATATCCTGGCAAAAAGTTTGAGTTCTTTGCTCTTCTTTCTTCTGCTTTATTTTATTACATGATAACTCAAAAACCAAACAATAGTGTCAACCAAATTCACTGAAGTGTCAGTTTCAAACAAAGTATCCGCTTTTATAAGTATTATTACTAGTAGTAATTAAAAAAAATCATAATTCTAGTGTAAACGATGTTATCATTATCCCATGTAGTTAACTTTCTTACAGAAATTTTGGTGTTCCTTTAGAAAGCTGAAATACAGGGTGTGAACAAGAATTACCAGCTAATCCATAATAATAAAATGGCGTGTCTGTGGGTATGTATGTGTATGTGACTGCCATAACTCCATGAGGAAAAAATCTAGAAACCTGAAATTTTGCCCATGTACTAAGTGGACGCTGAGGGTGTGCATTTGGGTATTATTACTTATCTACGTGCATGTGCGCATTTTTTTTTGTGAGGTAAGCAAGAGAAAAACCATATAGAAAAGAATATGTAACCGCCAAAATTCCAAGAGCAAAGAACCTAGAAATCTGAAATTTTGCACCCATACTACGTGGACCCTGAAGGTGTGCACCTGGGTGTTATTACTCATTCAGGTGCGTGCCCGCATGCGCATTTTTTGTGAAGCAAGCTAGCGAAAAACCACATAGAAAAGAAGTGGTTCCTTATATAACTGGCAATAATTAACAATTGAGTTTAATTTATCCTATTTTTGTGTGTTAATATTCTACTACACTGTGTACCTGTGCTATTATGTAGTGATGATGAAAATGCCATCCACACTATTCTGCTTGCATTATTTTTGAAGAATTGATATTAGCCATCTTTACATTTACTTCCCTTTTTGAAAAGTGTTTTCTTTAATTGTATACTTAACCTTGGTATAGAGCTTTGACCAGTGGCATAATTACTTTGAGCTACATTAATCCCATAAGTCTTATGAAAAACTATAAGACTAAATTTATGTTGCGCACACTTGTACAGAAAAATGAAACAAACAAATGCTCATACAGTATTATCGAAAGTTAAAAATTAGCCACAAAATATTAACAAAAATGACAAATGTATTTTAGTTTCGAAAATATATCTGGTTATAGCATCATAACTCTTTAACCTACATTAAAAACACATGTAAACATATTTTCTCGTGAAAAGAAAAATCCAACACTTCTCTTCACTATTGTATTGTCACTAAATATTCTTAACTCTTTATGGAAATTAAAACATAACTTGTGTTAAGCCTCTGCATTTGCAAATTGGTATACACAGTAGACGCAACTTCTTACACTTGCAACGTGTATTCATGCCCATTATAGTACACTTACAAGTTATCATTTCCACACAAGCCACTAGGATGGGAGGTAGATATATGAAGATAGGCACTAGTTTCTATCCCGTGGTCCCATTAGGAGCAGCACTAGGTATTGCATGTGTGCTTGCCACCACACTTCTTCTTGAAAATGTGCATGTTTGATGTGATAGGACAAGGCATCACTTGTTGATGGAAGGATCTTCGGTTCATTGAATGTGCCTTGTTAATAGTGCCTTGTTCAGTACTCTTAGTAGTTTGGCCATCTAAGTCACCCTCACCTAGGCATTTGTGCAAATCATGATGCTGCTGAAAACCTACAGCATCACTTCTTGCTATGCTCCGTCAAGTAGGAGGTGGTATCACTACCAGTCAGAGCATGAAATGCGGGTATGATTTCCAGTACTGCTTGTTGAAATAGTAGTTACTCCACAACGATGTGAATTAGAATATACTTCATTTTCTTGGCTGTTCCAGCCTTGAGCCAAAGCTTAGAACATGAGAAATTTGGATTCAGTCCCCCAACATCATGGAAAAAACAGTGCTTGAAAAGATTAACCAAAACAGGAGTTGCAAAATTGAATTTCGTCCTATTTTTTTGGCAGCCATTTTGTTTTTCTGCTTTTTTTATAAGTTATGCAGAAATAGAAAATCACCAAATCCACTAAAAAAGTATCTAGTAACTTTTACACAAAAATGCCTGAGCGTTCTTACAGAGCCACAGGTTAAAGACTAGTCTCATCTTTCAAAAAATGAAGTCTCCAACGCGTTTCCATTAACATAAATCCATCCGAATTTAAGACAACAACAGGTTCAAAACCATATCCCTCACTGGTAAAATTAAGGCTATGGTTATGCTTAATTATATGATATTTAAAATGGATTCCAACAAATTCACATATGCGTTATACTTAAGTGTTAATATGAATATAAAATTATCAGTAGACATTTAAGGACAGTAGAACTTTTTATTGCTTTAACAACAACATTCATGTTAATCATCCTATACTTGATTATACAGAGAGTGTAGAGATTGTTGCATGCGATATATATTTATTGCTCCTCCACAGTGGCTGAGCATTAAGTATGAAGGCTTATAACGCTAAAAACCAGGTTTCGATACCCGTGGTGGGCATAGCACAGATAGCCTATTATGTAACTTTGTGCTTAACTACAAACAAACATACAGAAGATATTTATTTTCACTCGCGGGCGTTTCATAGTTAAAACGGTAACTTCTAAAATTCCGTGTCAGTATCTAATAAAAATATGTTTTAGAGGATATTTATTGGTAACTTTTAGTTGTTGTTGTTGTTTGAAGTTAAGCACAAAGCTACACAATGGGCTATCAGTGCTCTGCCCGCCACGGGGTAACTTTTAATACAAAACAACCAAGTAATTAACTTTTAAAACTCGCTAGCAAAAATTTTCCACCCTAGTTATTAGCTTAATTCGTATATAAGTTATAACTTCGTGCAAATTAAACGTTTGTATTTCATGTCGGTACGTTCTCAATTGAGGTGATAGTTTCAAGACACTATACTTTCTCTCAAGTTTACATGAACTTCAAACATGTTTTATGCAAATATTCATACATTGATAAAACATAATGATATATAAGAACTATCACATTGAACATATAGTTTATTCATTTCCAGAGCAATCTTTTTTGCAACATTTACAAATTCATTTGGATTTATTAATGACATTCATGTAACTAAATAATTCAACTTGGAGCAGTCGAGTTTGAATTATACGTGTATGTTTATACATTTAGTGTCTAGATTTAAGATTAATGTTTCGTACTCAGTGACAGTATGAGTGTGATGTTAAGGATAAAAAAACACAAAAACTATTTTTTATTATCTTTTATTGAAGATTACTCAGGGAGAAGACTTCTTTAACCTTTTCATTGTGTATATAAGTAAATATCTCTTGGTGTTGAATGAACAACGATTATTCACAATTTGTGCCTGTGTTAACGCTGTCACTTTAATGCATACAATACTCTTCAAATGATAAGATATTTAGAAATAAACAAATACAACGGTAAAAGTAAACGTTATATTTAATATATTTTAACATTTAGCACAATAAAATGTTCTGGTATGACTTACCTTTGTTTGTAACTCGGGTGGTGTAGAACTGTGTGAACAGCAAGACAGCAGCAGTTAGAATGGTCGCATTAAGTTCTGCTCTTAGGTTTATACCGTATTGAATTATAGGAGGCGCATGTGCTGTACTTAGAAGCAGAGTTCGATTGAATGATTGTGTAACTCCTCATATCCGTCTTGCGTCAATGCATTCAGATAAAACAAGGATAACGATTTACATTTGCTAAGCTATAATAAAGATAAACTTACGGGTAACTCATTTTAAGTTATCTAGAACAAAGAGTATTTGAATAATTATATATATATATCTTCTATAATTAAAAAGAGTGTGTCTGTTAGTCTTAGTGTCTGTGTGTGGTCACCATAGTTCCAAGAGGAAAGAACCTAGAAACCTTAAATTTTACACACATATTAAGTGGATCCTGAGGGTGTGTACCTGGGTATTATTACTTATCCACGTTCGTGCGCGCGTGCGCATCTTTTTGTGAGGTAAGCAAGCGAAAAATACATAGAAAAGAATATGGTGTTCCTTTAAAAAGCTTAAGTACAAAGTATACAGGAATATCCAGCCAATCTATAATAATAAAAGGGCGTTTCTTTGGGTCTGTGTGTGTGTGTGACCACCATAATTGCGTGAGGAAAGAACCTACAGACCTGAAGTTTTGCATCCATACTAAGTGGACTTCTTAATAAGGCAAACTAGCGAAAAACCAGATAGAGAAGAAGTGGTTCCTTATATAACAATTTCTAATATTTAGAAAAGCCAGTGCATTTTGGTAACAATGCGTTCCAACAATGGCTTTTATATCATGTTTTATAGCAACAATAGTATTTAGGTTATACTTTTATGCTAAAATGGGTTCAGAATACACACACTATCAACCTAATAATCTGAGCGAAGCCGGGTACTTTCGCTAGTATATATATATATATACACACACACACATATATATATAACTAAATATATATATATATATATATATATAACTAAAAAATCGCACATTTTATTTGTTCAGTAATGTCAGTGCAGTCAGTCCTTCAACTTACAACAATCCTTATATGAAAAATATTCTAACTTTATTTTCTCTAAGTAAAAGAAAACTTTTAATTTACGGCAATACTTGCTCCAGTTATAGGTCTGACAGTGACAAAACGGCAGAAACAATGAAAATAATATATGTAACATGTTCACTATGTATCATAGATCAGTCGCTAGAACAGAACGTCATGCAAAAGACTTTTACTCTGTGTCCCTAATTGCTTATTGTAGGGTCGAAGATTACTTTAAACATACCTGTAATCAGTCATTAGATCATTAGAACATAATCATGTAAGACTTAATTATAAGGTGTTACTGATCGATTATTTGAGTAGTCTATGAAGCATAATATCACACAAAACCTTAGTCACAATATGTCACCGATTGGTTATTGGAATAGTCGTTAGAGCACAGTGTAACACAGAACTTTAGTCACAACACGTCACGGATCAGTTATTGGAGTAATCGTTAGAGCACAATGTCACACACAAAACTTTAATCATAATGTGTCACCGATCGGTTACTACAGCGTAATGTTGTACAAAACCTATTCATAATATGTGATCAATTTGTTGTCTAACATAATAACATAAAATCTAATTCAAAGAGTATCACCAGTCGTTAGAGTAAAATATATTCACAGTATGTAACCGGTCGGTCGTGATACAGAATACTTGATGTAGTATACTTATGTTTCCAAGGTAACACAACAATTTATTTTTAAATTTAACACCCATAGGAAATAGATCTTGGTACAGCAGCTTTTCCTTGCCTTTGAAATTTTGATTTTATTTTTAAAAGATTCTATATTATCTTATTAAACTAAATACTACAATGCAAATGTTATTTTAGTAAGACTTGCCTATGACTGAAATACCATACTGTTAGTGTTGATTTATTAAGATTGACTGTGGTCCAAGTACTATACTGCTAAAGTTATTTCAGTAAGACTGACCTGCGATTCAAATAATATGCTAATAATGGCTGGAGACGGCTTGAATGGGTAATGA